GCTAGGTCAGACAAGCTCTGACCTCTTATAGATAGGGCAATGAAATATACTTTTTCACCGCATACAGATATATAATGTTTGGTATTTTGCAGTAAGCTAGTGGCCAGTTAGGTGTCTGATCTCTTGGAACACTTCACTGGGAAACTTATCTGTCATGACTGACTTATGAGGAAGCCCTGTCTGGTTTAAATGCACTATTTCGACAAACCTCTGAAGCAGTATTGTTGCTAACAAAATATTCTCCCATGTTTACACATTAAGAAGCATTACCATTTCTCTGAAAGTTGAGAGAAATTGCTTGTTTGTTTGTTTGTTTATTAAGTAATGGAAAATAAAGGTTAAATTGTATTATACTTAGACAAAGGACATCTATATAATATGCTGGGAGGCACAGCCAGTGAATAACAGCTGTCTTAAGGCATGTTTCATCATTTAGGTAAGTATCACTGTGCCCTACCCCTGTACTGGTAAAACTTCTGAAGCAACTGAAGTCCCTCAGCTAGATGAAGTAATGCAATTAGTTTTACTGTTTTCATTAATGTACATAACATGACAAGAAAAAAGGTACATATATACCTTTCATGTCTTTTAAAATAGAAATTATCTGAAATGCTGACTTTTCTCCTTATTTATTTATTAAACGATTAGCAGAATATTCCTTGTACGGGAGGTTTACTTTATCTCCAAATAGACAAGGCCACTATGCAGGTTGTCTAAACCTCATGGATACCTAGGACTTGATTGAGCTGCTTGTGCACAGACGTGAAGCATCAGTGGAGATAACTCATATTCCTTGCCAAGTCTCTACTGCTCTAGAAGTCTACAGGTTCCTCAACCCAGTTTGGAGGACTGGATATCCTTGTGTGTGTTGGATGGGAATAGCAGCCTAGGAATGGGCAGCTAAATTGATGCTTAGCCATGTTTAAATACTCCCACTTACGCTGTATGTGTACTTCTGTGTGTAATACTTAGACATGCATGATGTAAATAGCAGTAGGAACACTTTCACTATATCCTTTTTTTTTCCAATTCATTACGTAACTTGACAGATCTTAATTGCAACTCAAGGCTCATCTGATTGGTTTTTCTCATATTTAAAGGAGAACAAAGACCTATGACATTAATGTCTGAAGATGAGCATGTTGTCTGATGTTGAAAAGACTTATTTAGGCATTAGTCACTTGTGCTCAGGGATTTATTAGTCATGGTAATGTCTCCAATTAGTTGAAGGACAGAGAGCATAATTGGGGCATTTTTTGCCTAATTACTGTTAACTGTGTACATACAGTTTACTGTTGAGTTTATGAGACTAGCTGAAGTGTTACAACAACAAGCATCTTAAGTGAGGTCTCTTTCTTATTTATAAAGTCATTAAAATCAGGATTAGCACCTGCAGTAAAAAAGATGTAAAGTAGTGCTGTGCCATAAACAGGAATGTTTTAATGTTTGATGTTGTATTTTTGTTCTAAGTCATAGTCTCTCCAGACTTTCTGAAAAAGAGATACTGTCTGAACTTTGTTGGAAAAAATATATTTTACAGTAGATGGAGAGAGGATCAAGTATTATCTTCTATGTATAGTGAAATAACCTTTAGATGAACTTGGAAAGGAAAAGAATTCCTCTTTAATTAAGTTTGCCTTTCTTCCTGAGGTTGTGAGAGAGAGGGGAAAGTGCTACTGTTACAGTGAGAATTGAGTTAATTGACATTAATCTTCATAGGTTTGTTAGATTTATTTTAACAGGGAAGAAGTAAAAAAGTGCTCAACCAAAGTTAACTGCTACTAAATAATTGAATGGTATACCTGAATTTAACATTTTATTTTCTGGTTTGAAATGAAGTTTGCTGCCTTCTATCTTTCCTTCTAGCCCATTCCAAACCCTGCATAAAGAGCTGGAGATACACAGTAACTTGATAAAAGAGTAACAGTTTTGAATCATGTTTTTCAAAGTGAATGTCTTTTTAAAGAATATAGTCCAGGAAGCTTGATTAGATGCTGGCAACAACATCTCAACTGAACTGCTCACTGGGTCACTTCCTTGTTCCAGCCTGCAGCATTCCTTCTTACCAGTCCTGCTGTTGCACACTGGTGGCTATGGCTCAGGAATCAAAGATGTAGAACTGAGTGTCATCAGCATTGCAAGGACAATATAGTCTTTATTACATGCTTGGTGATCTTGGGCACATTTTAAAGAGATGGTATTCTGATTTTGAGATGGATTCATCTCAAGCAATAGCATTTGAAAAACCTAGTAAGATGAAAATAGACAGAGTGAAAATAGCTGTTTTCACTGTGTAGAACAGCAATAATGCAGTTCCTCCACATTTGGTTGTATTATCTGATTTGTGTTGGTCTGTTTGCTGGTTTATCTAAGCGATAGCTGAGTCACAAGCTCTTGTTAGCCTTGTGTATTAGCATGGAAGTCTACTGTATTTCTTTTCTAGTGGTTGGCACTTCTTTCAGTGTACCATATTTTCTAGATAAAATCAGATAGTTCCGTGTAAATAGTCAGAAATGCACATTTCAAGCCAAAACGTGCCAGACACTAAGTAAATAAGTGTTGCCTCTAATTAAAGTGTCTTATTAAATGGATTTATTTAGTAGTGTCTAGAAAATTTGCCATTCAGAGTTTTAAAACTGGGGGGGCTTGGGGGGGACCAGAGGTTCTCCAGTCAAGCAAGACAGAAAGTGAAAATTTGAAATGGATTTGTATTTTAATTTTTTTTCTTGTCAATTTTAAAATTTATTCAAATAGAGTAAATAACCGAAAAGAAACAAGTGGAGATCAGATTGTTTAGAAGAAAGGTTGTGCAGCTTTCATCCTTGGAGGTCTGCAAAACCCAGCCTGATCAAGCCACGAGCGCATTGCTCTGTCCTCAGAGCCAGCCCTGCTTTGAGTAGGAGTCTGGACTAGAGACACATCTCATGATCCTTTTCCCACCTGAGTTGTCCTGTGAATCTATAAATAAAATTAAGAACTCTTTGAAAGGTCAAGATATTCAAGTGACTGTGAGTGGAGGTGTTGTAGATGTAATTCCTGTTGGCTTTTGGTAGTAATGGCATGACTTCTTGTACTTTTCATTTTGGCTAAATCTCTTCAGTTCTTAATAACGTTGTGGAAAGAACATTAAAGCAGGACAAAATAGTGTCACAATCACTTCAGATTCTCTGCAAATAACTGAGATGATCCAGTGAGTCAGGTGCCCTGGATCTGTACAGAGCTCTGGTTGTTTCACTGTACATTCTGCTGTTTATGGGATGGAGGACAAAAAGAGGAAGAAGGAAAAGGTCAGTTTTGCAGTGGGTATGTCTCTTTCCTTAGAGAGCTACTTATAAATTAACTTTTACTCCTCATCATTTTAATGCCCTCAGGAAAAGACTGGGATTGCCTCTCTACTCTGAGCAACTGTAAGCCAATTTATATAGTAATTGGATGCCAAAAATTGCAAGCAGACCATAAATAGACACATTAAAAAAAGCTGCGTGGTAACAAAACATGAAAGAGATGGCAATAGGTAGCTTTGAGGGAAAAAGAGGGTACATTTACAAAACTTAGCTTCCTACTTCTTTTAGTGCTCCCATTAGTGGGATCCTGCTAATGGGAAATGTTAAATATTTAATATCTGACATTTCTGTAATGTCTATGTAGTGCAGTAAAGATTAAGTATTTTATAGTGCATTTCAATTTAAAAGAATGAAAGCGCTTTTCAGACTGTTACAGGGAAGCTGTCATATTACTTTCAGCTTTAACAGACTCTTTCAACTTGTTTGCAGCAAGCTAGGTATGAAAGCCCTGATATCCAAACAGTTCATCCTCTGGGGACCTGCTGAGTTGGGGCACTGTTGAGTTGAGGTTTTTGTCTCACTTCCTAAATTAAGCAGGCATGCCGTAACCACTGAGCAGTTTGCACAGCCATGATAGTTGTGATTTTTTGCTAGTGTTATCCAAGAGGTGATGCGAGGCCTTGCGGTTACAGACCAGTCTGAAGCATTCCCACAAAGGACTGCAGTAAAAGCCAGGCTTGCATACTCTTTCTCTGTCCTTTCCTGACTTTTTTCTGTCTAGTCTTCACATGGAACGTACTAGAGGTTTGGTTTCCTGTAGGAAATTTACTGAAAAGTACCAGCCTTAATTTTGAGGTCAGAATATGTCTGTGTAATTTAGAAATAACATTTTTAGTTTTAGTGTACAATACAAATTGGCACGAGGATAGTAATTTAATTTCTTCCTTTTACTGGAATATTGTACTTATGTTAACATTGGATCTGATTTATAGGGGTTGCACATGTTCTGTAATTGCTAGCCAGTGCCCATTTGTGAAGGTAGATTGTGCGACTGTCAGAGTTACTGCTATCCATCTGATGCACTTTGCTTGACCTCAAGCCCATAGCAGTTCCTTGAAATAAAGTAGATGAGTAATACAGATTGCAGTTTTAGCACTGGAGGAGTACTGAAGTGTATATTCTTTTGATTGAAATGGAAAGAAAACTACTTCCAGGCATTCTTTGACCTTTTGGTCTGAGTTAATTTTCAGATGCAACCAAGGTATTGCAATGTTTTTCAATGACTTAGTGATTAGCTCTATATTGCTACTTATCTAGTTAAAAGATAGGCGATAGATTAATGTGTGTTTTCCTTGTACATTTGTTTCATCTTGATAAAATAGATAGCTAACAAATGGTCTTAAAATGGTGCACCATTCCTTTCAGTTAACCATATATACATGCAGATATTTAGCTGACACATGACTGCAGCTTCTGCTAATGTTTAGTCATAGCACACGGATGTGATGTTTGTTTGCTTACTTAAAATGTGAATGGAGTTNTTTTTTTTTTTTTTTTTTTTTTTTTTTTTTTTTTTTTTTTTTTTTTTTTTTTTTTTTTTTTTTTTTTTTTTTTTTTTTTTTTTTTTTTTTTTTTTTTTTTTTTTTTTTTTTTTTTTTTTTTTTTTTTTTTTTTTTTTTTTTTTTTTTTTTTTTTTTTTTTATTCACTCCACATAGAGCTGATAAACCAGATGACGAGGACGATGAAGATCCAGTGGGGAATAAAACATGGGTCCTTGCACCAAAGATTCATGGTGGGGATGTAACTCACATACTGGACTCCTTACTTCAAGGGTATGACAATAAGCTTCGGCCAGATATTGGGGGTAAGCTCATAAAATGATTCAGTATAATAGAAAATGTGAATAGAGATGGTGTGCATTTTGTCAAAGATGACAAAAATCCACTTCTTGCAATTTCTAAAACTCGAGATAGCAACCTAAATATAACAGCAATTAAATGTAGTGGTTTCCTGGAACTGATAAAAATAATGTTCTAGGCAAGAGTAGACTTTATGTTCTATTTACCACCTTTTTTTCTTATTGAAAATATTGTTTTTGGGGGACAGTGAGAAATCTACAACAAATCATTAAAAGACAGCTATAATTTGCTTTAACAAACATCTTCTGACAGAAAGAAATGTGGATATAAACCAGCTATGATTATGTAAAAAATTGATCTTGAGTCTGTAGGAATTTAATAAAGAATTATTCCTAGAGGTTTTACTCTTACTGTAGAAAAATATAACTCAACCCAGTTCTCTTCTCCCCTTAGCTCAGATTTTGAGAAACTTCATAGGAATCTAAAAATATAACTTATGACTTTATCTTTTCTAGAGGAATATAGGAAGGAAGAGTGCATTGCTACAGATCAAACTTTGCAGCTAGTAGGAAGGTAATTGTCTTTCAGTAGTCAAAGCATCAATTTACAGATAATTATTAAGTTTAAATATTTGGAAGAATCTTGTTTTGAGAACATAAAACATGAAAGCTTGGCATCTTTTGTCTACTGCATGCATACTGGATCAAATAAGAAAAATAATATATTTTTTCTGAGTTTGTTTCCTGAACTGTGAAGAGAGAGGTAGAGGACATAATTGTTTGTTACATACCTGACATTTCCTATCAGTCTGTAAGGTGCTTATGTGATAAACAATACAACTGCTTATTTCATTTATGTCAGACAAGAGAGATGCCGTCTCAAACTATGCATTTTCTTTTGAAAACTTCTGACAAATTGTTTTCTTTCCCCAATTTCTTAGTTCTTTTGTTGTTGACTGTTGTTTTATTGTTGACTGTTATCCTGAAGATGCTGAAAGACAATATTTCTCTTGCTGTCATAATATAATCACATGCGAATCTCTTAAAGTTTGTTTTAAGTCTTTCTTCATGTTCATTTAATTGAATTACTATAAACATTTAGACAACGAGGAAGGTCTTCCAGCATGTTTTTCTTTAAATTCTCAATGTATGACAGATGTATAGAATTACTGTTGGGCCTTTTTTCCCTGTTTGATGCAACAGACAGCAAAGTGATTATGAGGGAATAAACTATCTCCACAAGGATTCCTTCTAATGATTAGCTGGTAGGTGGGGTTGAAAGAAAGAGAATTCTTTTTCTCTTCCCTCTCCATAAAACTTAGAAATAAATGGAGAGAATACAAAGGAAGAGGAGTTTATTCTGGCATTTCAAATGGATTTAGATACACTGAGATTGCCTCGGTTGGAGCATGGTGCTAATAACACCAATGTGGGTTCGATCACCGTATGGGCCACTCTTTTAAGAGTTGGACCTGATGATTCTTGTGGGTCTCTTCCAACTCAGAATATTCTGTGATTCCTAGATGAGTATGGAAGAATTTTGATGTAATGCTTACCTTTAATTTTCTGGTTATATACTGAGTCTTGATAGGGCAAGAATTCTGCCTTTTTGTGAGTAACTCAGTGTACAGCTTTTTGGATTCAAAATATCAGTTCCTGAAAAAAGACACTTAGTTCTATCTTCTCTCACATTAATGTTCTCTTTCTCTTCTCAATACTTCTGTACCAATCTGACCTTTAATATCTGGGGCTTGCCTCCCACCTACTATACTAAAACATAAAGTTTATTCATAATCAGCCAGAGTGATGAGGAGACATTTGGGAGTATTCACTCTGTTTTCAGGAGAACAAAGGTTAAGATTGATTCTCTTCTGGATGGAAGATAATTTGCAGACTTTTGCCACATAACAGAAATTCTGGATAACATCAGCTGAAATTTCTGACTTCGGGTGAAGGTATTGCATTCTGTCCAGTTGCTTGAGAACTGCAGCAGATATTTAACAGAAAAACAAAACTAGTCTATAGCTTGTTTATCTTAGTCTGCTTCAAAGATGTGGATAAAATCTGGTGTCAGATTCCATATCTTCAGAGGGTATGTCAGTACTTGTACAACAAGGTTATTGAACTGAAATTCTCATTATCTTTCAAAGCAATAATATCCCAGTGAACATTTTTATGATTGAATTACAAAGCCCATACACAATAACAACATTTTTTGTTTTGAACTTGGACATTTTGGGTTTGAATCCCAGAGCAGAATTTTGTGTTCTTCCTGATGTTGACACAGAATTTCAGCATCTCAGAGTGAGATAAGGGTTTCATTGTTAAGCATGAAGTTCGTTGAGGGACGTGCTAAAGGAAAGCCAAATGAAAACTGAAACTTCAGAGACAATGCTGAAATTTAATAGGAGAAAACTGTTCTGTCATTTTCTGTTTGTCTCATTCAAATGTCCTTGAGTTGTAGTGATTTCTTAACTGCTACCCTTTGCTGCATTTATTAATCTTACTTGTCTTTAACTCAATTTATGTAGTATGCTTTAAGATGCTTGAAGCATACAGGTTCTAACATTGAAGGTCTAGTATTGAAGTACTGTCTGCTCAGTATGAAGTAATAGTAGTTACCAGATGAACCCTCCTATCCGTGGTATAAATAACACTTAATTACAGATGCAACCTTGTTATGTTGATATATTAATAAAGCAGTACCATTCTTATTGTAACATTAACTTTTGGCTGCCTGATTTTGTAACCACACTGTTTAAACGTCAGTTCTGCACCAAAGTAGCTATTATTTTTGAACTTTCCTTTTTGAATTCTAGCTGCATGTTGATCCACCTCTCACATCTTAGGGACACTGATATATTAGTATTATCCTATCAATGTACAGAGCATTTTTTCCAGCATTGATGTGTGTATGGGTGAAACACAACTGCTCAATCTGAAAATAATCATCACATATCTGCAACTTACAGAAAGCATTTCAATCAACAGTTTGAGGCAAGTCATCGTTGATAGAATTTTCAAGAATGGTCAGGATAATTGCTCATGGGCATACAGAAATTGCACACCTAGAGAAATTTTTATGGTTGTTACTGCCCTATAAGCAGGGCCTGGATAAGAAATTACGTCTCAGTCCACTAATGAGAAAAGTCCTGTTCCCTGGGATACAAAGAATACATGGAAAAAACTTGGATTTTCAAGAGACTAATGGAAGCACTGATTCTGAAAAAAATAAGAGTAGTAGGAAGATATTCTATTGAAGAGGTGATCTTAGTGTAACGTTGATGAAAGTATGATATAGGCAGAAAACTAATAAGCTCAAACAAGTAAGAAAATATCAAGTAAAGGTAAAGAGAAAGATGTTTTGAGATGAATAAAGAATATTCTTCAAGAATTGAAGAAAATCAAAATACAAGATTAGGATGTAGAACAGCATATTCAGTGAAAGTTAAAGGTACTGGATGTGTGCACTGCATAGAAAATGGTGAAAATAATAAAAGTGGTGGGGTAGGAGTATTTGCTAAAGATGGGTTTCTCTTATATGAAAAGCTAAAAAGTTTGGAGAACAGGGCTCTGCTTTCATCAAAATCACTTTGAAAAAATTCTTCAGAGGTGCAACTGGAAGCCTGCTGTAGCCACTTGAGGCTGAATTGTCAATATAAATAATCATAAAAGTAATAATCTTAGCTAGTTGTGAGAATTGTATTACTCCATTAAAAGCTATTACAACTTAAGGGCCTCTGTTATTTCTGAACGTGGTAGTCACCTAATTTATTTGCTGAATAACTGTTTTATCACCTAGAGGGGATGTTTCTTTAGGCAATTAATGAGAAGTTATAGAAAATACGCTCAAAGAAAATAAATCTGGATGAAATTATCTAAAGTGGTCTTAGTTAAAATTAAATAGTATATAAGTAATAATTAAAAAAAAAAAAAAAGGTATGTCTTAGATCTTCCTTAGAAAAAGAGGGAATTGTGGAAAACTACGGGAACTGGTTAATAAATTTAGATGGACTAACATGCTATTTGTTAATGAATTGAAGTAATAGATTGGAGTAATCAAAATGGAGCAGTATTAAGCAATAAACAGTGCAATGTTCTGCCCTTTTATATTAATGATAATAATTTCTGTCAGGAGATGGGTGTTTATAGACTAAGAATAGCTGATAAGGAGAGCTTTTAAGTACAGCAGGCAGAGATATTTCAAATATCAAAATCTAAAAATTTGGCCTAGAAAAATATAGTCTATAAAAGAGGCCCTTTGGGTGGTAAGGCCAATTACTAAAATGATTTGTCAATGATAGAGGTAGGTTTTTATCACTATGATTTGTCTTGTTGGAACATACCTCAACATTTTTAAAACCAGAAGAATTTTAGTCTAGTAAAAAAAAGGTGTCAAACAGGTAATCAGAAAGTGAGTAAATCTCTCTAGACTGGGTTTACCAAACAGGTCCCCTGTGTGCTTCAGCTATGTTAGGAACTGGTGAACTATTCCTTGTGGACAGCTTCTCCTTAGTGCTGTTCTTTCTCTCCCTCCTGAATATGCAATCTGTTGTCCTCTCACCTTCTTACTTTACTCTAGCCTGCATCATCCTGTCTCTGTGTAAATCTTTAAAGTCTGCAAACCCTTTCTCCCCTTGCTTAGAAGATTCTGTAAGTTTACAGTGCTGTTTTGCACTACATACAGGATGTGTGAAATCGCCTTCTTCCTACTTGTAGTGTTTTCAGGGCTGATATCAAATTTTCAAAGTAAAATAAAAAGCATTCACAGTAAAAAAGTCTTCTCAAGCCATCTTTCATTGTTACCTCTTTGTGGAGAGGAATTGAACAATAGTAATTATACAGATATTAAATTATTATTGAGAATGTATTTTCCTCCAGCATTTGTCATTTGCATGAATTCTTATCACTTCTGGTTCAAGAACATAAGAAGAATGAATAAGTTCTTCTAATTCAGAAGCACTTTGCTCCATAGCATGCAGAAGAACTAATGTAACAAAATAGATTCTTCCAGTGTTCTTGAGTTGGATTCCTTTCTCTGGCTTATTTTGGTCAATTAAAATAATTTCAACAGAGGCAGATTTTCGAACTCTTCACTAGCTCTTAATACCACAAATAATTTTACTCAGCGCAGTATGGAAAAGGAAAAATGAACTCTCTTGTTCATTACAGGAAAGCCCTTGTGGCAGATGAAGTACTGCTTGCTGCAAGCTGGAATTTTATAAAATTGACATAAACCTCATTAAAAACTGGCTCACTGACAGATCTCAAAATTTAGTTGTTAATAAGGAATATCAGTGATTGGGCTGCCTATAGTGGAGTCTCATAGGAAACTCTTGATCAAGAATAATGGTATTTTGAATGACTTCAGCAATTCATTTTTGTAGTAAAGTTGGCAGATGACACACAGGCTGTTGGAAAGGAAGAGACTGCATCTACAGAGTAATGAGCTCCTTCAGAATAAGCAGAGATATGAGAATTGAGAGGGGAAAAAACAAGGAGGTGGGAGGGGAATAAACCTGTGAGTTAGATTTCAAGGTGAGAGATTCTGCATAGTAAAGTATTCAGTATTCCTTGAGTAATGAGTCAAGATACACTTTGATCCTTGTGTTCTGGTCTAGCAGTGGAGTTACTGTTATATAAATAAATGGGGTGATAAAATTAAAGAAAATAATTATCTGTTTGTGAGATGTGGTGTATGTTAAATAGATTACATTGTACATATGAGGAGAGACCTCATTGCAGTCTACAACTTGATCGTGAGGGGAAGAAGGACAGGCTGTGATCTCTTCTCTGTGCTGACCAGTGACAGGATGCAAGGGAATGACCTGAAGTTGTGTCAGGGAAGGTTTAGGCTGGATATTAGGGAAAGGTTCTTCACCCAGAGCTGGAACAGGCTTCTTCCCAGGGAAGTAGTCAAGCCTGAGAGAGATCAAGATGCCTTTGGACAATACTCTCAGACACATGGTGTGACTCTTGGGGATGGCCCTGTGCAGGTCTAAGGGTTGGACTTGATGATCCTTGTGGGTCACTTCTAACTCAGCATATCTGTGATTGTGTGATGCACATAGACACAATATAAACTTTTTTTACTCTGACATTTCAGCTTGTGTGTATGGGTTCTTGTGTTTTCCCCTTTCCTTTATGAGCTCTGCAAAAACTGAAAACATTTGCAGCTCAACCACAGATTATTCTGAATTGGAAGGGACCCACATGGATAGTCTCAAGAAGTACTTATTTTTTCCCCCAGGAAATAAATTCATTTCCAGAATCCGTTTAAACTTCCTGTGAAGCACGCTGGGGACAGGATGGTGATCAAGTGACTTTATGCTGTGTGGTCATAAAAAATCCTTTGTGCAGCCTCACTGGTGTGTCTTTCTGTCAGGCTTAGGTTCACACCAGTAAATGGATTTGGAATCGGGGAATTTCTTGGCAGGGAAAAGGCATCTTAAGATGTTTAGGAAGTGTATCTTGCCTGTCATTGTATCTGGCAAGGATGTCAATGATACCCCTTTCTTTCTGTGTCTGTTCAGGTTTTCAAAGATTTAAAAAAATCTTCTTACTTAAGATTTTAGGTTTTTTACTGAGCACTTGGGCAATCTCTAATGGTTTGCAGTATAAAGAAATTAAATCTGATGACCTAGAGTCCCTCTTCTATGAAATCAAAATGCCTTTTTGGTGGTATCTTACCCTTTTTTCATCTGCAGATGAAAAAGATGCTTCATTTTGTTGTGTCAAATCATGAGGAGACCAACAGAGCTCTATTATTAACCCTTTTCATTCTTTTGATTCCTAGGACATGTCTTTTGTGTCCACATTTTGGCTCTCCAGTAGAAGCTAGAAAAAAATTACCTGATAAACTGATGAAGTCAAAATGCATTCTCACCTCTTCTGTTTGAGCCTTTTTTCCTGTATAAACCAGTTAGGAGGAAAAAATGGAATTATGGGTGGCTCCTGTACTTCAGATGTGCCTTTCATGGGAAGTCACTTAGACTTTGTGTCCTTCCGTAAATGCACAAAAGAAGAGAGTGTATTCTGTCAGAGAATATATTTTTAAAAGCTTTTTTTCTCTTTCTCTGCACATTGAGAGTGTTTTTCCCTGTTTTTAAAGCAAAATAATTTGGTAATGTTTAACTTTTAAATGGCTGTCACTTGAGGGTCTTTAAATTCAGCATTTGAAATAGTGTATTAATCAACCTGATGAAAGGATGTAAGTAATTCCTAGGTGCTATAGCTTCATGAATTGAAGAAATCTGTGGTGAAAGGATAATTTTTTTTTGTTACATGTTCTCAGTAGAAATTGATAGAAAGCACTGCATATTGATTCTTTACAGATGATAAACACATTTGCTACCAGATGTCATGTTTTGTTGTATGAAAAAATTTTTCCAAACTTTTTTTTCTGTTTACGATTAAATTTTTAAGTTGGAAGACAGTTTTTGGGAGGTTTCATTTGTTTGTTTTTCCTTCCTTTACCTATTGTATCTATCTTATATTTGTTCACAAAACATAGGTGGGTATTGCATTATGAACTAAAAAAATTGAAGTTGATAATTTTAACAATTCATATGAAATAAGGGAGCCAAGTCATATGTGATCCTCTAAAGTACTAAAAAAACAGAAATTTAATTATTCTGAAGCCAATAAAGGAATATCAGAAATGTTGTCGTTTTAGTCACATAGATTAAATTACACTAACAATGCACAGAGTTACTTAAATATAATTATTATGGTTACTGTTTTGTTTAGTGAGAACTACAGTAATTGAAACAGATGTCTATGTTAACAGCATCGGCCCAGTTGACCCAATCAATATGGTAAGTTCTGATTATTGACAGAAAACATCATCTGAATGTTGCTATGGGTTAATATGATGAAATAATTTTAATCTCATTCAAGTTTCTTTATTCTTTGCTGTGTATTCTTATGCAGTTGGATATGACTGGTTATTGCAGAAACATGTTTCATCTCTCTATCTGAAAAAGTTGTCATTTAAAAAATATATTTCTTCTTTTAAAGAATGGGGCCACACAGAGTATGTTTTATCAGATCCTTGTTTTCGTTTGTGTTAAACATTTCCACTATATTTGTGTATACCTAGATTGTCTCTGGGCCAGTATAATTTCCTGGAGCTATTCTTCAGAGCTTAAGAAAAATAAGTCGACATAGCAATTGTGAATAAAACTATTTTCAGTGCAGTGATTTATTGTTTGGGACTTTTTTTTCAAATTCATAGAAAGAAAAATTTGAAATTAACTGTTTTGTTGTCCTTTTTCCATTTAATCTTCTGCGTCCTCTTCTGTGCACGTGTGTGTGGTGTGTGTGTATATGGTGAGGGTGTGTGTGGTGTGTGTGTCTGTGTGCACATGGCTGGTTTCTTTAGAAGTTAAGCAATGAATTCCATCTAATTTCTGACAGACCTGTTGAGATCTGACCTATCTATTTAGTACCAACACTGATGTAACAGCACTTCTAAGGAAGTTGAGTGTGCATCACTAAATCACTTAGATTGTACACTGTATGAAATGGTGGTGGTGGAGGCTTTAGAGAGACCTTTTGGCATGACTTCTCCTGGGGACTTCTGCCCAGGACTCAGACAGGGACTCACCGTCAGGTGTGTTTGAGCTCACCCCTCTCCTGCCCTTTTTCCTTTACCTTCTCCCTACAGAATTACTGACAATATTCAATTTGCATGGCAGAGAAGTGTTTTGTTCAGAGACTGGAGTATGGCAGTGCAGGGGTCTTCTGAGTGTTTGGTTGGAGCACTGTAATTCTCAATTGTGATTATGGATCTTGTAGTTTAGACCCATCTAATCATGCATGGGTGGGGAATAGATAGGAAGCCAAGCAGAAAAAAACAGTGGTACTTAGATACTGTGGATAGAGATGCCAAAAGTAGATTATGCAGATCTGTGGCAAAGGATATTCATTCCAGCATAATGGTGTGATAAACTTATGTTTGCCATTACCTGGGGCTGTGGCAGGGAAGTCCGTGTCTCAGGCCAGGACTGCACATAATGAAGAGCATGACAGAGCAGAAGAGTGATGGGATGGGGGAAATTTTCCAATTTCCATGTCCAGTATAAGTGATGTCTTTGTTTTTGCCTGTCTACCTACTTCAGTCTTTCTCTTTTTCTTCTCTCTGCCCAGTTCTTTTCTGAAGGAACTTACAATGGGAGCAAAATTTGAGGACAGGCTGTAAGGAGGATATAGCAAGTGGTAGAGGTTTCTTTTTCCAGTAACCAGTGTAAGTCCTTCAGCCTGTGGCCAGTAAATATTGCATACACTGAAACTGAGCATGCAAAATGCTTACAGCTTCAGTTTTCCAGTTTTAAAGAACCAGCATGAGGCTGGCCTTGCAGGGTAGCACTACTCCATCTCCCATGCCCTTTTCTTGTCTCTGCAGCCCCTGTGAAATCTTCCAGCTATGGTTCATAAGTATGGTTGTATGAGCATCTAACATCAGTACAAAAATCAAACATTTGTAAAAATAAATAACACGTATGTATGAAAAGAATTTGATTAGGGTTTCAAAAAACGAGATGTTTTATTCTGGGAAACAACATTCTCATCAAAATAAATAATAAGAAATTTGACTCTGTAAACCATTTTTATGTGAGCTGTTGGTTTCATTAGGAAGGCACTTCATCTGGAGTCAATATTGCTTGAGATTGTTAACCATTGCTTCCATTTCAGGGCTGTTCTTCACCCTTCATTTGATCACTTAATGTGAGAACACATTATCTCTAGTTCCCCTTTGGATTATTCATTAGTCAGATACCTTAATTCACTCTGGCAAATGATGTCCTTTAACTATTAAGTTAGGATACAATGTGGCATGATGTAGAGAGCATTTTTTTCTGAAAATGATGCTAAACAGCATATCAAGGGAGCATGTTTGTCTGAAAGCTTCAGAAGATACATATTATGAGAGGAAACATTTATTTTTGAATTCAGTCTGTTTTCCTCTTGGTATTTGATAGACTTTTGTAAATGGGATGTATGTGTGTTATTCATTAGAATTTGTTTTTGAAGGCTGTTGTATTTTGGCTTTTACTATTTAGCAAAGATCTACACAACATTCTAGATGTTATATTCACCCCATTCTTAAGAGATGTTTTTCTACAGCTCGTGAGCTCTTTGGGCAACATTTTTAAAAAGAGTCTGTATCAGTGGAGTTTTTAGGCTTCCAAGTACAAACTAAATCTGTCTTTTAGAGCTGACCTTTTAGAGTTCTGCATTGTGCAATAATCATGTAAAATGCAGCTAAGTGTATTTTTAAGGCCAAAGTCTTGATCCTCACTGGCTCTGTAGTGGTCTAGGAAATTCTTAACAGAGTTTAGATGTGCAATGGGTATTTAGAGCCTGTTTTTACTTTATACTGAACACCTAATTTAGAAGTACTAGGCTTTTACTGCCTTTGTGCTTCCAAACTAGGGCCAAATGAAAAGCAACCACTGCTTGCTGTACAAGTATCTGAGTCTGATGTATGGTCCCAAGGTAAAAATGGGTGTTGCCTGTAGGTCTCATTAGCTTTCTCTGTCCTGTATTCATCCCCAAACCATATGTATTCATATGTATGCAGTTTTGTGATACTGATGTCCCAGAGGGTCCATGCCAGCACCACAGCTTTTGTGGTTTGACAGGACCATTGAAGTGTGCAATTCAGGTGGCTGGGAGAGACATGGCACCCCTCTAAGACATTTTTACCTTCCTTTAAGTAAGGGAATACCCGATCTTGTAATTTAGATCTGATCAAAACTCCTATGACAATAAAAGACTGTTACACCAAATGAGAGATTTTTGAGAAGGAATGCAGGAGCAGTTCCTTAAGTCTGAAGCAGTTTTGCATTATTGTGTCAAAAATGAAGAGCAAAGGGAAAAGTTTATACTTCCCCTGTCTTTGACACCTATTTACTCAAGTTTCGTTCAGTAAATAGAAAGAGATAGATAATTTCTATAGAGATGCATAGACATTGTTACGGATAGTTGGACTAAAAACTAGCCAAAAGAAAATGCTCTACCCAACTGTCTATATCGGCCTGTGTGTAAGTGTATACATATATATGTAGGTTTACAGAAAGAAAATAATGTTTTAAAATCCCTTTGCTTTTTAAAAGTGTTTGTAAGTCACAGTTAAACAATTTGAAACATTCTGCAATCATTACCATTTTAGTATGTTTGAGGACTACTATTTTTCGTTTCCCTTGCTGTGGTTGCAGACTATGGTCTCTATTCATTTTTTATATTTATTAATGGAATCTGCTTTTAGAAGGCCCAGACTGAAAATTCCAAGGTTTATTTCTGGGATTGCATTTCACTAGAGCAATTCAGTTTCCTTGTTATTTTCCAACATTTCTGTCTCTTCTGTGGATCCTTTGGCTTTTGTCATGTGATCTTTGCTTATTATCCATTGAAGTCTGTGATCACAAGCTGAAACCATACTTTGAAGCCCACCACCCTTTCTTTTCACGAGAGAGTTAAACCACTGAGCAAATCAGATACTCACAGAACACACGATGTGCTACTTTGGTGTGCAGACTGCATTCCCTGGACACTGTTAGGATATAATTTTTCATGTCATATTGTACCATTTATGACTTTGTGTAGAATGTGCTAATGGGCAATTTTAAGTATCCTTTGGCTTCTAAATTTCCTTTCATTCTCAGTTACATTAACTAGCAACAGATTTTTTATATTTATTTTTTGATAATATTCAATTATCAGTGTGATCAGTATCCTAGTACAGATTGCTGTATTGCACTTGTGGAGGGTACTTTGTGGTCAGGTGTGTCACTGCACTTACTCTACTGATCACTGCATTTGTATTGAAGGTTTGAAAGTTTTGTACTCTTACTTTACAGTGCCAAGTAATTTACATTTAATACACTAGAATACAAGTAATCATGACCTGAAGATACATTACCTGAAGTTACCCTGAAATCCAGTACTCAAATATACACACTCTTTGTGTGCATTATTCTTTAAATCAGTATAATTTTAACTCTGGTTTTGAATTATATTAAATGTTGTGTTACTGAACCATACCGGAATTAGCAAGGTCCTGATGCTGCTAATGCCTAGATATGTACTTCAGTTTACATGTGTGAACACTGACATTACATGTCAGATTTAAGGATTTAACAAACACAGTAGAATAAAATTCAAAGTAAGAAGTGTCTAAAAGAAAAGATATGAACTCTCTCTCCTTGTCTGTTTGTTACAGAGCTGTGTGTCTAAGTGAACATTGTTCCATATAAGAAATATGCACGTAATAAATCAGTGCTATCCAAATGCTGCAATAGTAGTAACATTTCAGGAATGGGTGAACACTGCTTGATAGGGCTTGTCATGGTTTGTGAACTGTACTTGCAGCTTTTCATGGAGGTTGGATTTGTTTCCACATTTGAAGAAGACTGTTTTGAGGAGAACTATTTATTCTGTAAACTTTGTGATGATAGAGTGAAAGGAACATAACAGATGCACTTTGGCCCATATTTTAGAAATTATGAGATTTCCTAAAGATTGTGTTGATTCAGTGTGCAAGCACTGGAAATTTTTGGAGAGTCAAGTGTGTGCACTTTATGCAAACTTAAATTATCTTTCAAATGGCAGGAATATTTATTCCTAAAACAGGACAAAGTACCAATGAGTCTTTGAATATTTTACCTGTTTCTTATTGTACAGCATCTTCTTTGTAATAAGTTAGAATATTTTTTCCCAATT